ATGGAAAACTGGAAGAATGGAGAAGGAAAACTGGAGAAATGGAGAAATGGAAAACTAGAAATAGAAAAACAGAGAAATGAAGTAAACGACCCCTATATATCTCTATGGTATTAATAATAACAAACCACTAAGAAAATTGGAGGAAAGTTGAATGAAATGTTATTTCTCTATTAAAATTAAGACCTGCCTCTCATTTCTTACTGATATTCCTATTTTTTTCTACTCTATCAAGGATCAATTTAAAAATTGATTCAATTGTATATAACTTTTACATTTTTTAAAAAGTGGGGTCATTTAATACTGTTGATCATATTCATAATCAATGAAACCATTTTAGCCTTCAAATGAAACCATACATATTAACTATAAGATATATACATATAGACTTCAAATATTTCAGTGAAGTTGACTCCACTGCTAATGAATTGTAGCCAGCACTGTAAAACATGGATCACTATCCTCCCAGTTACTCCTTTATGTAGAGCAATATTGTTATATACCTGCTCACATTTCTGACAGTGGGAAAACACTAATGAAGCTAGTGTTTTTTCTTCCTGTGAAGAAATTTTTTTTATCTTGATATCTTCTCTTCCAACATTTAACTGAACTATATATTACATGCCTAATGAGCACATGCCCAAACAATTAGAGCTGATTTGGTAATTTCTGTATCTTTGCAGATCAAAAACTAACCAGTCAGGTCCATGAGATTGTTGGGCGCATCAATGGCAGATTTGGGTCTTGGTCAGCTGTTCCTATTCATCATCTGGTTTGTCACGTCTTCTTTTATTATTCTATATATATATAAGTAATACTTACTGTTCTTCAAATGTATATGTGTTTACCCCTCATCAAGACGTTGATCAAATTTCACTACACACCATGGTAACTCACCTCCTTCCGTATATATGTAAATGATGACGCTATTCTCTTTCTTTTTCCCATGTACTTCTAGCATGACGTTGAACTGTTTGTAGTTTCACTTCATACTGTGGTAACCACCATTTGTATGCATAAATGAGTCTTGGTGTATAACGTGTCTGAAACTACCTGACTGACCATTCAGTAAGCTTCACTATTTTACACCAACCTTCCCTGTCCCCATTTCATTACTGATGAGATTAATGTTATAGTTTTGTATCAGTTGTTCCTATGGCATGCTATGCTTTGGTTTTTTTTTTTTTTTTTTTTTTTTTTTTTCTTTTTTTTTTTTGATATGTAAGAATCAACTAGTTTCATAAAGCCACTCTTTATAATTTTTAACTTGACTTGAAGTTTTGAGAAAACTGTTTTTTTTTTTTTTTTTTTTTTTTTTTTTTTTTTTTTTTTTTTTGCTTTATTACTTTTAATTAATGGTATCCTGGTAGGTAATTTCCTTTTTTCTGCTTCAAATTTGGATTTTGGTTGGACATTTCTGTCTGTATGTTGGCACTTGACAGTTACAAAATTTCCTGAAAATCATCAATCAATGGTTGAAATCCTGTGAAATTTACTTTATAATTAGTAAATAAACAATGAACAATTGAAAGAATTTCTTAGTCCAGAATTATGCAACTTCTTAATTGATTTTCCATTTGTCTGCAGGATCGTTCTCTGGACTTTCATGCTTTATGCGCACTTTATGCAGTTACCGGTACTGATACCAAAAGCTCCCTTTGCAATAATCAGTTTCTTTGGTACTTTACAAATTAGTTATGTTCTGTATGCCCCAAGAGAGTTATTCTTTGGTTGATAAAATTATATTGTGAATTTGGTTAAATATATTCTGTCAGTTAAAGAAGTCTGCTTGGGTGGCTCCCATCCCCACTCCCCTGCTCTGCATGGGCAGTCCCTCTCTAGGATATTTTTTTGACCATAATCTAAGTACAGCATGATAGTTGTATTAGTCAATATCATCTAATTCTCATCCTCTAAATCCACATTGAAGTTTTTGATGACATTTTTGTTTCAATTTGTTTGAAGCCTGCTTCTTTTATTGATCAGATGTAGCACTTGTCACATCTTTACGTGATGGAATGAATCTCGTCAGCTATGAGTTTGTGGCATGTCAAGAGTCAAAAAAAGGGGTTCTTATTCTTAGCGAAGTAATTATTGTACTCTTTTAGTTTAAATTCTACTCTTAATTTTGACACATCACACCATTTGCTAGTAGACTCAGTTTGATGGAGAAAAAAAAATCAATATTCTGATGCTTAAAACCTCATTTGACAGCAGTCCATTTATCACTACACTATATGGTTTTGTTTACTTATGTAGGTTCTTTTTTGGTTCCCTCTGGGCATATTTGCAGTTTGCAGGTGCTGCACAGTCATTGGGTGCTGGAGCAATCCTGGTCAATCCCTGGAACATCACAGAGGTTGCTGCTTCCATAAAACAAGCTTTAAATATGTCTGCTGAAGAAAGAGAAAAACGTCACCGGCATAACTTTACACATGTGACGACCCATACTGCTCAAGAATGGGCTGAAACTTTTGTGAGGTTTGTAGAACTAACTAAATGATACATTTTTCTTTATGGAACTACAGCCATATAGTTGCTTAGTTTTTTGCTACCCGAGAACAAATATTTTTCCTTGAACACTGCTATTCAAAATCTTTATGATAGAGAATGAATGATGAACATGCAGAATATCATATAGAAAAAGTCCTGGTAGGTTGTTTGTGTTGCTTTCCCTGCCAAAGTTTCTGATGTTCCACTTTTTTTTTTTTTTTTTCTCTTGGTTGCAGTGAATTAAATGACACTGTTATTGAAGCTCAGCAGAGGGTAAGAAAAGTTCCACCACGACTTAACATCAGTGATGCAATTGAGCGCTATTTGCAGTCCAATAACCGATTGCTCATATTGGTATCCTCATTATTTTCTTTCCTGAAGTTGCAAGGCATACATAATATTGTTTTGTTTTTCTCTTTCTTCCTTGTTAAACGTTGTAGCAATAACCGTCTAAATTAATGAACTTATGATAAAAACCAACAGGGTTTCAATGCCGTGCTAACAGAAATGGTGGATACCTCTGGAAGAAGAGGTGGCGATCAAATTAAAGAAATGGAACTTAAACTGCATCCAAATTTGAATGGACCTCTATCAGCATTGTGTATGGATCCAAAGACGACAATTGTTGTTCTCAGTGGAAGTGACAGAAATGTCTTAGATGATGTACTGCATCTAGCTTTCCTCCCCCACCTTCCCTCCCTTCTCCTCTCTCCTGGCCCCCCAAAAAATGCCAATTATTCTTAATTCTGGATAAGTGTCTTTGCAGAACTTTGGTGAATACAACATGTGGTTGGCAGCAGAGCATGGGATGTTTCTGCGATCTACAAAGGGAGAATGGATGACTACAATGCCAGAGCTTCTAAACATGGATTGGGTTGACAGTGTAAAGGTATGGGCCATGTGCAGGGTCATTATATTTCTGTTATCTTTGAACTCTAAGTTATTATGTTTGTATTATTTATTTATTTATTTGTTACAGCATGTGTTTGAGTATTTCACTGAAAGGACCCCTAGATCTCATTTTGAACCTCGAGAAACTTCACTTGTTTGGAATTACAAGTATGCAGGTAATTGAATTTTGTAATCCATTTTGCCTCCAAATAATTTTCCATGCCTTTCCTTGTCCTCATGATTAGGCTGTTCCTTCTTGGTTTAAATTTCAGATGTTGAATTTGGAAGGTTGCAAGCTAGAGATATGTTGCAGCACCTCTGGACAGGCCCAATTTCTAATGCATCTGTTGATGTTGTGCAAGGGCAACGATCTGTTGAGGTTCGAGCAGTAGGTGTTACAAAGGTGATGAGATTTATCTTATGGTATTTTCATAAAAATCCCCTCTTCACAGCCTTACACTGAAAGTGGTTAGTTAGCCCGTGTCACAGGGAGCAGCAATTGATCGAATATTGGGAGAAATAGTTCATAATAAAGCCATTGCCACACCAATCGATTATGTTCTGTGCATAGGGCATTTTCTAGGAAAGGTATTCTCCTGGAACTTTATTAATGCTTCTTGACTTGGTGCATATTTAATTTTATTTAGTTCAAAGCATCCCCTTATGCTACAAGTGCCAGTAATTGGATGAACAAACTGTAATTGAACAACTCATGTCAAAACATACATTTGATATGGCAAATATTTTATACAAGTAACTAAAAAGGTACCAAGCAAATATATATAGCAGTTCATTCTTTTAACTGGTTGTCCTTGTGTCTCTACTTTCTGTGCTTCAGGATGAGGATGTCTATACATTTTTTGAGCCAGATCTTCCTTGTGATGGAATGGGTATTCCAAGGTCGAAAATAACCGATGCATCGAAGGTAGCAGGAGACAGGAGGCCAACGGCAAAGCTTTCATCGAGCAGAAGCAACTCAAAATCATCATCACAGAGCAGGAGTAAACCAGTACCAAACTTGGAAAAGAAAACACCAAACCATACATCTGGGGGTGGACGACGGTCAACAGCTGAAAATGCTTCATGGAATGTGTTGGATCTCAAGAAGGAGAATTACTTCTCTTGCGCAGTTGGCAGGAATCGTACAAACGCTCGGTATGTTATGCCTACCTCGGATGATGTGGTTGCATTTCTGAGACAACTGGCTGAATCATCTACATCAAGCACATCATACTCACATTAGGATGAACAACTAGCTGAAGCATCTATATCCATTCAACCCATCCAGGATGAAGCTTGTACATTGACTCATCACCCAAACAATGTTAGAACCCAGACTCTCGTATGCACCGAGACAACTTTTGTAGCTATATATGTTGTGTGCTTGTATGTTTGAGCGGATGCATACATATTGATACAGGCCTGCTTCCCGACCAAATTGGAGTATCTCTGACCCAATACTAGTGCTGATTTTGTGAAAGAGAATGTAGTCCTAATTCCTAAAGCTGATTTGTGTTTTGAATTCTAGTTACTGATAAAAATCTTTTTTAGACCTTTTGGTGTACAGTTAATTGAGTAGCTAGAAGAAATGTTTCTAGTGGGAGACGGAGACTTAACAACTGCACTAGATCGTATTTAATGTATTATTTTGAAACGTAATCCCTGTTATACATTCAATAACGACAGAGGTTCATCACACAATCGCTGGCTGCTTGCTGACCATTTGTAAATCATGAAAAATTTTATACCAAACCATCTAGTGGAAGCACTCTATTCAATATCGAAAGAAGGTGGTTAAGCTAAGAATGAGTAATAACTAAAGCTAGCACAGTCTAGAAAATGAGATTCACCCACGGCCACCCTCCACTGAAGCTGGCTGCTTCTTATTATGCGGAGGTTTTTCTGTTTGGTTCAAACACATACTTGATCAGTGACTCCTTTATTGACAACAACTCAGGGAACTCTTTCTTCAACTTTGATGCATCCATCTCATTGTTACTTCGGGCTGCAACTATCACCTTTGCCTGCTCTTCCAGCGTGAAGTTGGCCCATTTGAACGCTGGATCCATGTACTTCTTGTACATCTCCAGAATCTCATTGTGGCTCACAACCCCGGGGTTTGTAAAATTCCATATGCCTCTCAGGTTACGCTTGGCCATCTCTATGGATATAGGAAGTAGCTCGTCCAAAACTGTCATGCTATTGGGAATATTTACCACCTTATCATAACGAGCGATTTTGGTGATGAAATTGCGAGGGTTGTTGAGGTCTGAAGATATTGGCATTCTAACTCTCAGGGTGCAAACATTTCCATACTCTTTTAACAGCTCTTCAACCTGTTCCAAGAAAACAACAAAGTTACTAATATAATATAGCTACCTGCATCTAATGCCTAAGAAACAAGAGACAAAAACGAGCAAGAGATGCATGCTACCATGGCCTTGGTCTTTGAATAGAATGAGCCAGTGAAATTTGGTTTGTCTTCCTCTTTGAATCCAACCGCAGAACCTTCTGGATGTGCAGCGTCATATTCAAATATGCAACCAGTGGCAAAATTCATCATCAACAGACCATTCTCTCTGCATACATCTGCTAAAGTTAGTGTACCAGCAACATTGGTGCGGATCGTCTCACACTTGTGACTTTCGCACCAGTCAACATTGGGTCTACCAGTGATACCAGCTGCATTGAAGACATGGGTGGGCTTCACAGACTGAATGTCAGCCAAGAGCTGTGTGCGATACTCCATGCGACCCCTACCATATTCATAAGGAATCCCCTGTTTCTCACATAACTTGCCAAGCAGACCACCAATCCAGCCAGTTCTACCATATATCAAAAACTTATAAGGTGGTTTTTGAGCTGAGTTGCTGATTCTGGGTGCTGGAACTACCATCTCAGTTTGATTTGATTTTCCTGAGAATTCAGAGGATCCAGAGTCGTATTTCTCGGCCTCATCAAAGTTCCTTTCTATCCCACCAGGCATCATCAGCATTCTAGGATGGGGAAGCAATGCACCAGAGACATCTCCCCACCAATCAGGGTTATTGGTATACCATTCAATTGTCTTTTTCAAACCCTCCTGCCACACAGTCCGTTCTGACCAACCCAGATTCTTCAACTTCTGATCATCTAGGAAATATCTCTGGTCATTAAATGGCCTATTCTCTACATATTCAATGCAAGTTTCAGTATCCATATTAAAAAGCTTGCATATATCTTTAGCAACATCAATCACTCTCCTCTCCTTCTTTGTTCCAATGTTGTAAACATGGCCTACCTCTCCCTTGTGAAGAATGACCTCAAAAGCCTCAGCGACATCTTCACAGTAAAGATAACTTCGGACATTAGAACCATCTCCATGAATTGGAAGTGGCTTTCCCTTCATGGCTAAAAGAATGAACTTAGGGATTAACTTTTCAGGGAACTGGTTGGGACCATACACATTATTTCCTCGAGTTGTTATAACAGGCAAGCCATATGACCTACCATAAGCCATAACAAGCATTTCAGCCCCAGCCTTTGTAGCTGAATATGGGTTCGTGGGAAGGAGTTGTGAGGCTTCATGATTTCCCACAACAGCATCCTCGTCAGTCTCCCCGTAGACCTCATCTGTGCTGACATGGATAAATCTTCTGATCTGACCAGTAACTTTGCAGGCCTCCAATAGTACATGGGTGCCATAAATGTTGTTCTTGGTAAACTCAAAGCTGTTACCGAACGAGTTGTCAACGTGGGTCTGAGCAGCAAAATGCATTATTGTGTCTATGGACTCAGTGATGAGGAGGTAATTAACAAGATCAGCACTTGCAATGTCCCCCTTAACAAACTTGAAGTTAGGGGATGAGCGAGAGGGAAGAAGGTTCTTAAGATTTGAACAGTAGTCTAGTTTATCAACAATAACAATCTTGTAATTAGGATAGCTCCGGACAAGTCGATTTGCAACATGAGATGCAATAAATCCGGCAGCCCCAGTAATGAGGATATTCTTTGGGGTGTAAGTTGTCATGTTGACAGGGCTTCTGCAGAAAACAGAATTCAAACATATACTTAGATACTAAAGTGACTAAACATACTGCAACACAACTTCATGAAACTAACTTCAAATATTCAGCTATAAGCACCACTAAACACTTCAGACATCCCAATAGGACAAAAATGCTTTCTCAACAGAAGTCAATTTGAACAGTAATATCACATCATCACTTTCAAAATAATGAACCAATGCCGCAAAAAACACCATTTGGTTACCAAATAACTACTCCGAATCACTTACAAGTTGACAAAAAATGTTCCAGGACTAATAATAATAAATAATACTTCCTAACAGAAATGCAAATTTTACTTATGGTTCTATATTCCTCCATTACGAAATATTCTCATGAACAGGTGTAATAGAAAAAAAACAAACAAACACTGAAAATAAAGACATGAAATGATGAAAATGAAAACTCTGATAAGTGATTGCTTTCCAGTAATTATCTGGATCAGAATAAAAAAACAACAATAATCAACAGATCCAACGCGGTTTACAGAAAATGCGCAATTCACAAGCTGAAATATATGCACGCAATGCATATGAACAGAAAGCACATACAATTACAGGCGCAGCGCATACCAGATCTAGATAATATGAAGCAATGCCAACGAAAGCGTAGAACTCGGTAACAGATCTACACGCAATGAGAAACACCACTCGAGTCATGAACCGTAAAGATAAAGTGTAGCACGGACGAAATGAAGAGTTGGATTTACTTACTGCCTCTGCGTCAATCCGGATCAAGATGAACGCCGGTGCCAAAAAGAGAGAAAGCAAGAGAAAATTTAGAGTTAAGAGAGAGAATGAGAGGAGAAAGGAATTCAGACAAAGCGACGATGAGGAAAGATTGCGGAGAGGTGCTAGGCTGTGAAAGCGATGAACGAGGAGAATCGACCAAACGTGTCGTAGTATTTATACATTTGCGGCTCGGAACTCGGAAATCTAAACATTATTAGCATTTAGTACCCAATTTTCATGCAAATCAATTTTGATTTTGTTTGTTTTTTTTTTTCCCCCACACCCTATTGCTATCTATTGTGTCATCAAATCATCATGTCAAGTTACAAAATTGCTTTCATGCTTTTATTATATGTTTTTACAAATTTTTCTTTTATTGATGAGTTATTTGTATTGGTGCATTTTATTATAAGTTATTATTATTTAATTAAATTGTTAGTTTTATGATGTGAGAGGTTGGTTGGAAGTTCAAAAATAGCAAGTAATAAAAAGAGGTTATTTGCCTCTTGAATACAAGATTCTAGTTATGTGTGTCTACTCTAGAGAGGGTGGTGGTGGTGGTTACTAATGTGCCATCAAGATGTGTATAAATTAGGATAGTGTTTCATTTTATCGTGTATATTAATTGTGATAAGTAATTATAGTAAATTAATGGTGAGCATCAAAAGGAGTATATTTGTTGTAATTTGACATGTCCAACATTAATTGTGACACGTAAATACGTAATTGTACTAAATTAGTGGTAGGTACCAGGAGTATACTTATTATAATTCGATTTGTCCAACACCAAACTAGTTATGCGTGCTAGAAGGAGTATATATATTTGTTGTATTCCGATATGATTTGTCTAACATATTTCTTTGAGGTTTTATTTGTTGAAGTATTTTGGAGTATCTTATTCAGAACTTACGGAGTATTTAGTTATATGGAAAACTTTTCGAAAGAAAAAGTTTTCCTTAATTTGAGGAAAATATTCACGATGTAAATGTAAAGAGTTATACAACTAACCAAAATGTTTTGAAATGAAACAAATCTCGATAAAAAGGTATTGTTCAAAAACTACGAATGAAAATAACAATTACATAATAACTAGGGATAAAAATAGCAACTTGGATAAAAAAAAAATAATAATAAAATAAAATAAAATAAAATCCGAATATAAGCAAGAATTAGAATAAAAAAACAACAATAACTAAAAAACTTACGACAAAAAGTAATACATTTCTCGATCTCTTATTAAATTTTCTCATAATTTGGTCAATTGTAGCCTGCGGTTAAAAACGACGTACGTTGCAAATTAAAATCGCACCTTGCTCTTCTCAATCTCCTTCCAAATGCACTAATGATTGCACATTTAACCTAACCATCATGCATTACTGTTGATTGATTATAGCATTTTGATAAGTTTGGATGGGTATGGACTATGGAGGACTTCATTTAAATTTAATTTATATTGGCTAACACTGTGTTTGGTGAAGTCGCGTGCACCCAGTATTAGTAATTTAACTCTCCAAAGTCCAAAGTATAGGTTTTAAGTTTAAATCACATGACATAGGTATAATGGATTTTTATTTTTAATGAAAAGAAATATTAAATAAGTCCTCTTAAGTAAAAGAACTAGTGCAATTTAATCGTTAACTAAAAAAAGTTTCATTAAAATTTTTTAAATTGACAAAAAGTGTGTAATTAAGTTCAAAATAATTTACCAGGACTATGTGGTCTAATGGTATCCGGGTTGGACTTCCATTTGGAAGATTATGAGTTCAAGCCTCAGTGGAGGCGTTATTGGTTCTTTGTGTTTCAGTAGGTTGAGAAAGTATATGAACAGATACTACAATGTAA